AGTCTCCTAGGGGCTAGTGTGCAAATATTAATTGTTACACAAGTCCTTAATATTTACAAGATAAGGGCTTTCTCTAGAATTTTCTACAAGCCTAGAAGATTCCAAGGACTTTCCTAGCAAATCCATAAACATCTAGGATCTTCCAAAGGAAATGTCCATACTTCTCTCGAATCTTCTCACAAATGCAAGCATTCCTCCTATGTAAGCTTCCACATGGAATTAATATATGCCAAATGGTGCTTATGTGGCATGATGACATGGCGAGTCATCACACCAGGCTTGCTGGATTGTAGAATCAGCCTTAGTAATAACAAGAGTACCATCAATAAATCCCAGCTTGTTCTTTGCAGGCAAAGCAATGATGACTGCCCTTCTCCAACCCCCATATCCTTTTCCATCAAAGGTTGAGGACACAAAGTTCATCCCTGGATAGTCAGAAGGATGAAGGAAGTAAGGGTGAGTAGAGTCAATCACTCCTGCAGCAATGGTGACTGCAAGTGCATGAACATTGGTGGTTGTAGTACCAGAAGCTAACGTATCAACCGATTGTGGTGAAAAACTCATAACAGACAAGCTTAGGAGAAGAAGGAAAGTTGATTTATGAGTGAGAAAGGAGAAATGAGAGCAGAATCAAACCTGCTCTGATACCATAAAAGAATAAAAATGATTTGAAGAAATTTCTTCCTTTTTGTATTATGTAAATCTGTGTATTACTGTTGTATATTACTAGGATTTTATACAAATATGAATGTATCTAGGGTTGCATACTATGTTGCCAAGTGGCAATGTCCTATTAGCTAGTACAAAATTATACATAAAATAAATACATGAATGAGGCAAATAATTAAATACAGAGCTACCATGTGTTGTGCACTGTGTGAATAATAGAGCTGAAAAATGCAAACCCATAAGTTGGCTGGGGCAAGCAGTCAAGCAGGCCCAATGCATTCTGCATTGATGGCCCAATAAACATGCCCATAACTGATGGCCTCATATGTGTGTGTGTTCGGATATGATAAATCAGATCTTAATCAGACCTTTCATCTTCTCAAATACCCCCCCTTTCATCTTCTTTCATCTTCTTCGACTCCAACACCCCCTTCAAGAGTTACGTACAACACTGTGCAAATAAGGGTAAATACTTACACACCGACGTAATGATAGTGGCTACAGATATTTAGATACGCAAGTTCACCTTCTAAACCTAAGAGATAAAATGACCTTAGATTGTACATTTTAAGGACAAAAACTGGCATGTCGAAACTTGGGCACAAATGAAAACGACAAACTTGGGCACAAATGAAAACGACAAACTGCACCAACCCGATAATCCGAGTCAAATCGAGAAAAAAAATTCGACTATGGTTTGGTTTGATTTGGTTTGGTGTTGGAAAAAAAAAACCCCGACCATATTTGGTTTGGTTCGGTTTTAACTAAAAAAAGTCAAACTGAAACCAAACCAACCCGACATTATATGTATAGAAGCTTTAAATATATTTAATACATAAAAATATTTATGGTAGTGTAGTTTATAAATATTTCTTAAGCTTTTTCATAGTTTTATCTTTTAACGTATTATTTCAAGTTTGGGCTTATAATTTTTAGATGATCCAATAAGTTTTATAGTCCATAAATGTTAGTAACTCAAATAAATCCTAAACCAAAATCAAATCAATACTAATGCTAATAAAAGACATTCAATTCAATTGTACTATGAATGAAAATAGTGTTAGATATCTATTTTTTACTTTTTTCATGGTTTATATAAAATGTATAACTTATTTTTCTTTCAGTGGTTAGTCATGTAAATAATAGTACTTATTAGTCATAATTTTAAATTATGTTTGTTTTCATTATGTTTTATTAATAATATTTATTTTTTACGATTTTATTATCTTTATTATTGAATATTTTAGTACAATGTCATGACTTGTCATATTTATGTTATTTTATTGAAAAACGCCTTATATAGTTCTGTCTTACTAGGATTAAAAAAATATTTGGAGCACAAATTTTATGTTTTGTGCTATGAAGACTTTATGAAAAAAACTGAAAAAACCCGAAAACCCGAAAAATCCGAGATTAAAAAACTCGACTTTTATTGGTTTGGTTTGGTATTTAGATTTAATAACCCGATACAATTGGTTTGGTTTGGTAATTAGAAAATTCGAACCAACCCGACCCATGTACACCCTTACTTGCAGCTATAAAATAATTGCTTATGAAAATAAATTTTTTTTAAAAGCATGGTTTATATGGCAATTTGGGTTTTCTTGGGAATTGTAACTTTTTTATATTTCTATGTATGTACGGTGCACGTATGTTCCTGTCAATGATTATAAAACTTATATTAAAATGATAAATTATTTAAGTTTGTTGTTTTATTTTTCTCGATTTAAAGGATCAAAAGACCTAGGTTCTTCTTTCCTTGGACACTAATTTCATTCATATTAGGAATACATTTGTTTGAGTTTTGATATAGAAATATAAATATATAAAAAGTTTTATACATAACTAATCGAATTCATTGTTTACCTTTTTAGTTAGTATATATTAATTATACATTGATTACAAACAGTTATATATATTATGATTAATTATTGTATTTTTAATTTAAACAGAAGAGTAGACAACTATTTAGATTAATTCTTTTAAAAGTCCAAAAGTTACATCTGAATTTAAACTTCATATAAATATGAATTGTCTTGGGAATTAACGTCTGAGTGGGACTACGTTTTAGTGCCTTCCGTAGATGGGAGATTAGAGACCTAACTGGATTGGAATGAAATACAAATAACACATCACGTTTCTGTGTTCGCCCTTCACCCAAACTATCTAAAACTAAAGTAGATAAATTCTAGGACTCTAGATTTACAAAAGTACAAAACGTGGACTCCAAAAATTTGACTCTACCTGTTATTTCATGCCATATTTTATCTATCTTTATTTTTCAGTAAATCCTTACAAAAAATTCTCTTGATTTTTAATACGTAATGTTTTCCTAAAATAGACAATAAAAGTCATTTGAAAAAAGATGTTCATTCAGTCATTCATGAGTTGGTCATATTGCTTTCAAAAATTAAAATTAACAAGAGTTTTGTTACAATGCGAAACGGACAGAGAAGGAAATGTATTTCTGTTTGTTTATTCTTTCACCTTTCCTTCATATTTCTTTTCTGAATCAAGCGATTTCTAATTTCTTTGCATTTTACGTTTGCGGTCGTGTTAAAAATTTGAGTCTCACTTTTTTATCCGGTGTAATTGTCCAATTAGGATTTGAGTCTCGCTTTATTTATCCAGTGTAATTGCCATATTACGGGGACATTGGATTTCATATTCAATTATGAATTTAAAAAATTTCATTATTAGTTGAATTTAACGTCACAATAGTAAAGACAAATTAATTACATAAGTTTTACTTTTGTTACCTGTGTGTTTAATCCAAGTAGAATTAGTATGATAATAGAATTTTATATTCAATAATGAATTTAAAGAAAATCTATTATTAAGTGACTTCAAAGTCCTAATATTAGACATTTCTAAAAAGTAAAAAAATTTCTAACACGGGATTATAACTTCTTTGTCAGAGCACAATTGGTCTGTTGCTAAGAGAAAACATAAAAAAACTCATTTAAAAAAAAAATCAGACGAAAAAGCTTGCGAACTTGTTGAAACAAAACTCTAAAGGCATATCTTCCAGTGAAAGATCAAATAGCCCAAAAAAGCAAAGCAAATTATAAAAGAAATCAAGGTAACTTGTTATCTTATGCTTGAAAAAAGAGATATCTCGTGGATATATCTTATGCTTGAAAAAAGAAATCAAGGTAACTTGTTATCAACCAAATATACTTCGACAAAATTGGTTTTCCTCTTAAGTTTTGGTTATTGTAAAGCTAAAGCTTTGTCCAGAGCTAAATCGTAGATCACGACCTAAGAAACGTTTTTAATTCATAAAATCTTGTCAAACGATGCTCATCAGTACTAACAAAGAGAAAACAAACTCAAGATGCAGCGCTAACAATTCATCCAAAAAAATCAAGAACTCAAAGTTATCGTTGGGTATCAATACATAAAAAAAATTACTAAAAATAAAGCAAAATTCTTGGGTAAGATAGTGTTTTACGCTTACAAAAAGGATTGAAAGTGGTAGAGAAGAAATTGACGATATGGGATATGCGAGAACAGAAAAAGCGGCTAATATTGATTTTTTTTTTTTTTGGTTAGTGTCAATTAAGAACCGCAATATCACCGTTAATTTGGCTTCTTCTCAAGTGAGGGCAAATTTTCGTAACATTTGCCATGACATAATATCCACTATAACAAAATTTGTGAATCATGATATTTGTCATGACATAATATCCACTATTAGGCCAATGATTTCTTGCTATAAATAGATGAGTTTCTCCTCATTTGTAAACACACAAATTCAAGAGTTTTTCACTCTTGTCTTTCTTTCTCCTCCTTTATTTCATTATAGAGTATTTTGTAAGAGAATGGGTGTTGGAAAACACTTGTGTGAACCCTTTCTTTGGAGTGATCTTATGAGGTTATTCTCTTGGGATATTTGGGACTAATTAGAGTATTTACTCTAATTTTGTACTCTCTTTTGTACTCTTGTTGGTATAGTAAAATTGCTCCTCTGCTTGTGGACGTAGGTCACCTTGACCGAACCGCGTTAAATTTGTGTCTTCGGCTAAATTCCGCACTACCCGGTAACCCGATCCTAACAAAAACTCTAGTTCTCGTTAAGAATATATTTAAAATTACCAAACTCCTAAATTTGGGGAAGAACTTTGAATATTATTGAGTTACCTAACAAACTCCTAAATTTGAGGAAGGACTTTGAATATTACAATTTAATCCAACATAGTTGAAGATTAATTTAGTTTTTAAAGGATATTTTTGTACATCTAAATTATAGATAGATAGATAGAGAGATATGGATGTATATAATTAAATAACCAATAAATTCACCACAAACGAACGTGTAGGAGTAAGTAACTATTTCGGAAAGCAGTGGCAAATTGGATTCTGAATGTACAGGGCAGGTAGGCGTGTGCATCCTTAACTTTGATACGCTAATGGCGCAAATTCAACAAGATCTGCTGGTTGATTGGTCCGAACTTCAACATGATCTGCTTGTCTTGATAGCTAGACGTCTAAATTTGATTGAAGACTATCTAAGTTTTGGCACTGTTTGCAAATCCTGGCACGTTGTTGTTGTGGCTACAAAATGCAATTTTAATAGTGATCTACCTAGAGTTCCATGGCTGATGTTAGCCGAAGAAGATCAGGAGGATGACAAAAGTTGCTGTCGAAAATTCTTCAGCCTCTATAACAGCATGATTTTGAAGAAGAGGATTCCGAAAGCCACTGGAAAACGATGTATAGAGTCTATGGGATGGCTTATCACAGTCGGAGAAGATGACGGTGAAATTAGTCTGCTACATCCTTTCTCTGGTGTTGAGATCGAATTGCCGCATCAAAAAGATTATCATGACCACCACTGGATGAGGACCTCTATACGCAAGGCAGTTTTGTCAGCTAGTCCTTCTCATACATCTCACTACGTTCTCATGGTTATTGAGGTGAAGTTCCTTAGATTTTGGAGATCAGGAGATTTGAGATGGACCAAGATTAAGTGGGAAGAAGGGACTCACTTTCCATATTCTGATATTGTGTATTTTAATGGCCACTTTTATGCACTCGATTTTACAGGCCGCATCGTAGTTTGTGATGTTACTGGCCCTGAACCGATTAAAAGTCATGTTGTAGCGCAGCTACCATTCTATCTTGGACAAATTAGAGGTCAGACATACATCCTAGAATCACTAGGATCATTATTTGTAGTTGTGCGAAATGGTTGTCAACTAAGACTCCCCAAAGATGATTTTGATAGGATACCACTGACCTTCATCCAACAAGTTGAGAATGAGGAATACCTAACCTATGGGACACTAGAATTTATAGTTTACCGGGTTGATTTAGCTGCTGGCCAAGGGACCCAAACCAGGGAGTTGGGGGGGACAGCTTTTTTTCTGGGTGCTAGTGCTTCTCTTTCTGTCCAAGCTTCTCAATTTCCAGGAATTAAGCCCAATCATATTTATTTTACTGACGATTTTTTAGAATCATACATCTTCTATGAAGAAGGAGGCGGCCTCGACATGGGGGTCTTCAACTTAGCAGATGGCAGTATCCAGCCTCATTATGAGGGTGTTTCCCTTAGTCGTTTTTGTCCTCCAATTTGGGTCACACCAACTCTCTCTTGATCTTTATTTACTCTATTTGTCGTTGCTTTTTATTTTTTGGCTGATTGACTTATTAAGTTATTTTTTTGTTATGCTATATGTTATTGTTTTGCAATAAAAGTCTGATTGTTTCTTTTTAACAATTACAATCTGACTGAATTGATTGAAGTATCTTTATACTCCCGTTAGTTGTTATACTTTCTTTCTTCCAAGTATGTTGTGTTGGAAAGCGCCCGATCAGTAGTGACCTTATTCTCAAACGTCTTACTGGAACTGTTCAAGATCTAATAGTATTGAAATGCAGTCGCCTTTGCCATTGATATACTAACTGAAAATACAGAAGTAGGTGATGTGACCATCTTCTATTTTTGGGTATAAGATGCTTCTATAACTCTTCTTCAATACAATGTAAAATGAACTGCACACAGAAATAAAATATATATGGACATCCTTGAAGAGAGTGATTTTGCTGGTAGTGTATAGTTGTTAGTATCTCTTCTTAGAACAGTAGAAGCAACAAATGAGGACGCTTTATTTTATGCATCCTCCGCATCTTCTTCTTGAAATCATCCTTTGAAATTACCCAACAGTTAATCCTAGTGACTGATGTTACAACAACTTTGACCTTGTAAGCACTTGCATGTCTTGTTGCGGATCCAGGGTTTAAATCCTATGGGTTCAATTTTAAAGTTTTTAACATTGAACCCATTATATTTTTAAAGTTATGGGTTCATATCTACTATTTTTGGAATTTTAATGAATTTTTACATACAAGTTTTTAATCCGCGTCAAAAGTTATGAGTTCAGTTGAACTCGTACATTGTATACTACATCCGCCTAATTTACCTGGAGCTTAAAGTAAATACTTGAAGCTCAGTCTAGGACTTGAAAACAGTTGATAAGACCATTGAGCTTAAAAGGCAATCCGGTGCACAAGGTATTCCACGTTCACGCAGGATCCAAGAAAAGAGCCGCACCTAAGGGGGTGTGATGCAAATAGCCGGTCCTAATGCAAGCATTAGTAACTGCTTTCACCGTTTGAACCCGTGACCTACATATCATACAGAGATAACTTTATTGTTGCTCCATTGCGCTTTCCAGAGAGGTTATTGAATACTATGACATGTCTCACTAGCTATTTCTTTGGAGTTTGGAGCACCACTGCTCTTTTCTTGTTCCTCTTAGAAAGCATTTATGCAAATAGAAGTATGTTAATCAGCCCAAGAATAGCATAAGACAAGATAGATAAGAAATAAGATTCTAAGGCCATCTCCGACCCTTATTTTCTCCTTCAAAATGGAGTAAACTCCAAATCATTACTCTATTTTTTACTCCAAAAAAATATATATTCTATTTTATATTCTTCTCTCTCTTCAATATTATATTATTATATTTTATTTAAATTTTATTTTCTTATTTCTATTAAATAAATTCTATTTTACATATTCATCACATAAAATTTAATATAAAATTATTTTATACCATACAATTTTAAATAATATAATTTGCAAGTCAATATTATAGATTATATATATATATATATATATTAACGGATAATTCAAATAAAAGTGAAATCATCGAGATACAAGATAATTAAATACATATTACATTATGGTAAAATTCATATTAAATATTACATAAATATTCAACTTACACCTCTAGTATGCTCCCATAAATGATCTATTAATGTATTATGAAGTGCAAAATGAGCATCTTTATCCTTAATATTTTTTGTGTCGAGCTAAATATTGCTCAAATCGGTGATTTTTATCTACTACTATTTTTACCGTTAGAGGTGGACATTCCCAATCATCTTGAATTGGTGCATTAAGATCACATTCATCCTCTATTATCATGTTGTGCAGTATAATACATGTAGTTATTATATCATGTAACACTTCTTTTCTCCAAAAATGTGATGGTCCTGCAACAATTGCGAAACGAGCTTTCAAAACTCCGAATGAACGTTTAACATCTTTTCGACATGATTTTATAATTGCACCATTCATTTTTTGAGATGATTATATATTTTTTGTACAATTATAACTTATAATAAAATTAACTTATAATTTTACATAAAAATAATAAATGCACTGAAATTAATTTATCAAAATTATACGTCAAAGTTAAGATATAAAATTAATACTATAAAGATATTACATAAACATAATTAGGTATATATAAAGAGATAAATTAAATGAGTTAAATAATAAAAATAATAATAAAATAAGGATGAAGAGTAATGGATGAGATGAATAGTGTCGCTCCACGTACCCATATTGGAGGCAAAAATGAGGGAACATTGGAGCCCATTATGGCAAAAATTGCTTGGAGATTTCTAAGAAACAAGAGGAGGAGATGCAACAGTGGCCGTGTTCTTGCCAGTAAGGGTTGTCGAATTCTACAAAGATGGGAGAAATCAAATTTAGCATCTGCCACTTGGCTGGTGTTTTAGTATCTGTACAACATTCCCCCTCCATCCCAAATTTCATCTGATATCAATCTAAAAGGAAACACGTCTACAAATTGTGAACCAAAATCCAAATTCTCTGCCAAATTGCTCCTTAAGTGCTCTATAACAGAAGAATCTTTTTTGATGGCACTGGACAGACATTTTAAAGCAGCCTTAAGACAGAAAGTCCTTATATGTAATAGTGATAGTGATATTAAAGGGCAGCCCGGTGCATTAAGATCCCGTTATACGCGGGGTCCTGGGAAGGCTGGACCATAAAGTTCTTACCCTGCATTTCTTCGAGAGGTTATTTTCACGGCTCGAACTTGTAACCTTCTGATCACATGGCATCTAACTTTACCAGTTACGCCAAAATTTCCTCCTCCAACGTAATAGTGATATAAAGACTCAACATTTCAAATGCATAATTAACAGTCACACCATTTGCTCCATTTCCAAGAAAGCAATTAGAATTTCCTTTCCTGTGTGTACTCTTTTGGCTGATAGAACAGCAGAACAAGAAGACCATTCATCTTCTAAGTGATCATATAGTGCAGATACACCATCCAAGTACTTCTCTATCATAATTTACACCTTATCCCAAAAAAAAGAAGTTATTACCTACAACTTGTGGGGAATTAGAAGCAAAATACCTGCTGTTTGTCCCATTCAGTATTCACATTATGAACCAGAATGGAAACCATGTAAACTATTTTTCTTTTGCGTGAATCCAGACGTGTGAAATGTTTTAACAGGAGAGCATGTCAACAGCAGTAGATTCATGCCTATATATGACATTAAAGAGTTTGTGTATATAGACCTTGATTAAGTGTAAAAAGAGTCTGTACATTTAAACAAAAGGGACTATAAATTTCTAGAGATAGCTTAAGGAAACACAGAGATATTGCTTATGAAGCAAATAAGCTAAGGAACTCAAAAAGAGTATAAATGTCATATACATCCTTCTCTCTTATACATTCTCCCTCTTTCTTCCCTTCCATTACCTGACTGCATCCTTAGATATGGCATCAGTCACTGTGAATAGGCAAAGGAAAAGGTGTTTCTGTATCTTCTACATCATTGAGGCACATAAGGCTGGGATCCTTCTTTTTTTTTTAGATTGATTTGTGTGAGGCACCCATTATTCGCAGGAGTCCAAACAAAAGATATTAATTCAAGGGGAGTTGTGCTCTTCCAAACTAGTTCATATTTTTGGTAAAGATTCTGCAGACACGAGGAATTTATGGCATGACTCAACGGTGAAGCTACTGATGATTATCGCACCCTATTCTAAACACGGGTATAAGATAAAGCGTGACATTGACAATTCCAAGGGTAAAATTTGGAGTCGTCACCTAAGAAGTTAATTAGGTGTGCTAGCACACTTATATTGTTACTAATTCGCGAGCTTAACCCCATAAGTCTGCCTCGCCTAAAAACCTAGGTAATGGTTCAAATTAAATTGAGCGGATGTATATGGTAAAATCGGTTCATATTAAATGCTCGAATGACAGAATGACACGTGGAACNGGGTAGGTTCCGAAGGGAACATTATCAACGAGAGCAAACAAATACTTGTCACCGGATGACAATCAATGAAGAATATTCCTCAGTATTAAATACGCAGCCGTTACACAGAATTTTGGCATTCATAACCTGCCGTTACATATTCATCAATGGCCCCCATTGTTGTCATTTAAGAGGGGCTTGATCCTAGAACCTTGTTCCCTAGATAGCTATAAATAGTGATTTCAACAACCATTGTAAGATACAAAATTTCTGACAAACTTATGCGACACACTATTTTCAAGCTAAAGAATATTTTATTTTCTGTCTAACGTTATTCTTATCGCTACCTTCGGAAGCCTAACTCTCTGAATCAAGGTATCTGCTATTTATCTTGATTTCAACGCTAATTTTTTATTTTATTTAATTCATTTATCATTTTTGGGATCAAATTGATTCGCTTGTCCATAAACCACACTATAAATTTCAATTCTACCATTTTACGGGTAAATAGTTTGACGCCCACCGTGGGGCTTAGACAGTTGCGTAATTGGATTGATCCTTGCATCTATTACTAACATGTTTGATTCTTTGTTTCATAGCAAAGATCGAAAAAAATGGCAGCTAATGATGTCAACATCACACACAACGTTGAGATACAAGAGAATCTGCCTCAACATGAGGATCGATCAGTGACACCCACAACGAGGAGGATGTACCAACTCCATTCCATGGCGGGCATTCTCCCCGACATGTGCGGGAAGAAACTCCTGATGACGCTGAGGACGAGCACGTTGCGGAAACAGTAAGGATCTCGAGGGAGCAACAAAAGTCCATCATGGGCCATCTCTCAAGGCAAGACAAGGCCATGACGGAACTAAAGTAGGCATTGTCAGGTGCCTATAATAATACGATTGGAAGAGGCCATGTTCCTCCTGGCACTCCCGCAAACCAAACAGCTCAAAGGGTTGATAACAACACCCCAAGGGGAGAAGTTGGCTTCAACAGAGCTGGGGGGATTGGCAACAGATCCGGTAACAACAACAACAATGATCCCTTCCAGACAAAATTCATGATATTCATGAGGGAAATGAATGAGCAGATTGAGAACGCGAAAGAGTTCCATGCCCG